AAACAATGTACTGAAGCTCATAAAGCAATGTTGTTTTCAAAATTATCTACATAGTTACTATATTTATCTCTATGTTGCTGCAGGTTCGTCTGGATCCCTAAACTTACTTGAAATTCCATTCTCACCAGCTATAGAGGAATATCAAAGTGAAATAATAACTGAATCTACGCAAACATATATTGAAGAAGGACAAGTTTATCAAGACAAGCAAAGTGTAGCTGCTGCAATGAAGAATTTTTCTGTGATGCACAAGTTCCAGTTCAGAGTAAAAAGATCTAGTCATAGAAGGTATGGATTTATTTGTGGAGAATATATCAACAAAAGCAGTGTTTTAGTGAAGATATGTGGTTTTTATAAATTGTAGTTTAATTGTAGTTAAACTGTAGTGAATTGTAGTTTTTAACGAATTTGTGTTAAAACAGTCCTTTTTGTTGCTTCTACATCTATAGCCTGTATTAAATATTGTATTTTTTTTGTAGCTACTGGCTTATATGCGTTGCTGAAAACTGTAAATGGCACTTCAAGGCAACGTCAATTAATGATTCGGCAATGTTCAAGATAAGGAGTTTCAACCGACAACACACATGCTCCTTATTGGACGAAACATTCATACAACGCAAACGTACTGCAACTGTAGTTGGTAGCATGGTCGTTCCAAAGTATTGTGATCCTAAGACTGTTTACACACCAAAGGACATACAAACTAACATGTTATCCGAACATGGACTGAACCTAAGCTACATGCAAGCATGGAGAGCCAAGGAAAAGGCTTTACAGTTTTTGAGAGGGAATCCGTCTGACTCCTACAGCAAATTACCCAAATATTTTTATATTCTTGAGGAGACTTATCCTGGTTCTTTTATTAAATTGAAGAAGGCAGCAGATGATTGCTTCTTATACGCATTTGTTGCTCTTTGTACATCAATAAGTGGTTGGCAACATTGTAGGCTAGTAATAGTGGTTGATGGGACATTCTTAAAGTCAGCCTACAGGGGGATTATGCTTACAACAAGCACCATGGATGCAACAGGTAAATAATGTAATAATTTTGTAGTTATTTTGTAGGCAGTCTATAAAATGCAGTTAAATTGTCGTTATATTGTAGTTATTTTGTAGCTAAAGGAAAAAAATGTAGATAAATTGTCTATATTCTGAATATATATTGTAGTTGTTATTTAATTATATTTTTATATACCTTTTCAGGGCTGCCAATTAATATTTTATAAATTAAAAATGTCGGTACTATATTTCCCTTGGCATATGTTGTGGTTGATTCTGAAAACGAAACGTCTTGGAAGTGATTCTTTGAGCAATTCAAGGAGGCATATGGTGAAAGACCTTCAATGTGTGTTGTTTCAGATAGGAATGAGAGTATACTGAAGGCAACATTAATTGTCTATCCGGGCATGCCACACTACTCTTGCATGTAGCATATTTGGACAAATATAAGGTCCAAATTCAAGAAGGGACATTTACAATTACATGAATTGTACTTTGCTACAGCACGGTCATACACTCTGGATGAATTTAATGAAAGAATGTTGAAGATTGAAGAGGTAGACCCGCGTGTGAAAGCTTACCTATATGATATTGGCTATCATAGATGGTCAAGAGTACATGCAACGGTGAATAGAACTTTTACTATGACATCCAACATTGCCGAGTCGTTGAATGCTGTAACAAAAGAGGCAAGAGAGCTGCCAATATTTGATCTATTAGAGTATATGAGGACGCTTCTTGAACGTTGGACGAAAGAGAAGTTATTGAAGGCAAAGGGTACTTTCACATACCTTGGGTAAAAATTCAACAAAGAATTGGATGACAACAATATATTATCTCAGAAACTAAGGGTAAGATCTGTTTGTTTGGTGCAAAAATAAATAAATTGCTTAATATGCATTGTTTCCAGATTGTAGATAAACTGTAGTCAAATTGTGGGTAATTGTAGATTGTAGATAAGTTGTAATGTATTTGTAGCTGATTTGTAGGTAAGTTGTGGATAATCCTTTTTAACGATTGATATATTATTATTTCTATTTGTTCTTCAATTGTAGGTGAGGGCTTCAACAGATCATATACATACTGTATTAGATGGTGTGAAGCAGTACATTGTGTGTCCAGAAAATAAGAAATGTAGCTACGGACAATTCCAACTTGATGAACTTCCATGTGCGCATGCTTTGGCAGCATTAAGGCACAAGAAGGAAACATACGAAAACTATTGATCTCCGTATTACACAAGGAAGAGCCTTCTGCTTACCTATGAAATGCCAGTAAATCCTCTTCCTGATGAAAGCAAATGGGATGTGCCACAACATATTTTGGATGAGGTAGTAAAGCCACCGGCGGGAGATAAAAGGCAGCAGGGAGGCCTCACAAGGAAAGATATAAAACATTTGATGAAATAAAGTCAAAGAAGTACAAGGTGTCATGTGGAAATTGTGGAGGTGAAGGGCATAACAAAAGAACTTGCAAGAATGCGCCCAAAAAGAAATGAATATCATGTAGTTAGAATAGTTATTCAAAATAAATGTTAGTGAGTTCAAATTATCTGATTTTTTTGTGTAATCGTTCAAGTTTTTGAAGATGATTATGAAGTATACTACAATTTGTGTATTTGCGTTTAATATGATTTTATGTATTCTGTCAGGCATCTAAATTTGTCTTTTTTATAGCTTAGTTAAACTTTAATATTTACTATATACAAAACAACTAATATTAATGAAGAATTCATTCAATGTAAACTGTTTCCAGATTGTAGTTAAAATGTACTTTAGATGTAGTCTAATTGTAGTCCTGTTAATAATTTGTAGATGATTTGTAGTTAAACTGTAGTTTAAATGTATTTAAATTGTTGTCTTGTTAATAATTTGTAGATGATTTGTAGATTAATTGTGGATAATTTATTTATATGATTCCTGTATTTATTTCATATTTTGGTTGTGTACCTTAATTACAAATGACAGTTATATACAGAAATTACCTAGAACTTGAAGGTATTTCATAAAAATTACTTGAAGATTAAAGGCAAATTGTATTCTAGCAAATCAGAGTACTCGAGTTTAATGTAATGAAGATAAAGTGCTGTAAACAACCAAAATGACATATTTCCTACAGTGTATTCCACTTCAACTACAAAATGACATCAACTAAACTAGGAACACAAGACTCTATTTCTTCTTTCTCTGTACTCTAGTCCTCTCATTTTTAGCAGGAGCACCCTTCCTCCTTACTAGCCTGCCTGTAACCTCACTTTCACTGATTGACCCATCTTCTTGCTTCTTTGTAGCATAGTCCCATAGTAGAGCTCCATAGCGTCTACGGTGTTGGTCGATATCAGAAAGATCTTCTTTTGGGATTGCCAAATCTCCAAGGCAAACATACTCCGTAAAAGCCGCCACAAATACACCACAATCGCTGCATAAGATCAAATTTTTTTATTATGTAACAATTGATTAAAGTAAAATAATTAAACATATAAAAAAGGAGAATAGTTTTTTTACAGTGATCCTTCCTTTTGCTGTGGAATCTCCGCAACCATCCACTGTATATTGAGAGGGTCTGTAATTGGTTTCTCAATGTATGCCTTTGTGGTCTTGAAGTCAATGTCATTATGTTTCCTGTAGAAACCAGTGCAAGACAAATATAAAGGGATAATGATTGAAAACTTATCAACCAATGATTCAATAGTATTATGACGGTTTGAAGACACCATGGAATCATAAACATAAAGTTGCATGTCCGCTATGTCAAAAACGAGCAACAACCAATGGAAATTCTCTACAATGTTCACAGGCATGATGACATAGTCAACTACATCCCAGGCAACATTAGCAAGAAGTCTATACCCAATTCATAAGTGGAAGTGTAACCATAGTCTGAAAACTTATTCACAAAATTTAGACCAGTAATCAACCCAAATTCTCTCAAGGAAAAATTCAATTTTTCACCCTTCAATAGTACTGAAAAATATGAGTCAGTAGACTTGACAATTCATACTTCACCAGAAGATGAATTGCTTGGTTTTGCATACTGATTGTGGGGAGACCAAATAAGTAACCAAAACAAGTTTTTTGGAAAAGCTTTAAAGCATTTGGAGAGAGTAAAGCTTTTATCTGGCTAGGTATGCTCGGATCACACAACTGTGGAATCTAAGCACACCACAATCAACATTTTGTGGTGCAAAGTAATGGCCATTCTGCAGAAAATAAAAAATTATTGAACATTAATAGTTAGCATAAAAAAGAAGTAGTAATCTACATATAACTACATGATAACTACAAAATATAACTAATAGAAGAACAGCCTACCCACACCTATAACTACAAAACAATACAGGACATCTACACATGTAAACATTATCTTAAAACAATAAGGACGAAAAAGGTCACCACAGCTCTATAACTACAAAAATATAACAGTTAGCTCAAGTAACTCACAAAATGTAGATAAATTGTAGTTAGTATGAAGGTAAATGTAGCAACATACAAAAAAAATATACCTTATCTACAATTTATCCAGCAGACTACAAAACAACTACAAAATGATTACATTTATGCACTGTCTAAAAATTACAATTACAATTAACCTACAAAATTGAGACAAACAATCTACAAAATTTGGACAATTCCACATTTTACCAAAAAACACTTGAACAACAGATTTTTACAACCAAAATCACACTAAAAAACTGTAAAAAATAATAATTAGTGTTTACCTTTACCAAAATCTTTTTGTGAACCAATTTTGGTACTTTTTTGGAGGGTTTCTTCTTTTTCGGTTTTGATGAAGGAGGAGAGACCTTGGGTTTTTTCACAGATGGAATTTTAGGGGAATGTTCAACAAAATCATCATTTGCACACAACTCTTTGCCCTTTCGTTTGAGTTGTTTCTCGACTGGTTTATCACCTCCACCAGCATCAACATCGTGCAAATGCTTGGTTCTCATCTCCACACGAATTTGTCTAGGAGATGAAATACTAGTAGTAGGTTCACTTGCATGTGTCGATTTTGCGTTTTTGGATGGTGATTTTGGTGTTAAAACACCCAAATCAAAGGATGGGATATCAGCTATTGTAGCTTTTAAAGCTTTTTTTTTTTGGAGTGCTGATTTTTTTCATGATTTGGGACTTGAAAAAACAGATGCAACTTCAAAATAGGATTTTGTGAAATTAACTGGAAAAGAAAATTGTAGAATCGTAGTAACTGATGGTAAACATGGGTGAGAGGCGAGTATACGAAAATGTGGGAATTAACTGAAGGTAAAACGTGGGGGGTGTGGAGGGTGGGAGGAGAGAGAGGCGGGTAAACGAAAATGGGAGAATATACGCTCCTAAATTAACGCATAGTATAAATGAAGCATTAATTATACCCTTAATTTGAATTGTGGTATATAAATGGTAATTTGGTATGCTGAAATGTAATTAACACAATCCTTAAACATTGAGGGTAATAAGGTTTCATATATGGTATAGGAAGGTAAAAAACACTACAAATAATGGATTGTGGACCTTTTAAGGTGGATTGTATATATTTTGTAAACAAAACTTATTTATGCCGGGTAATTAACTAAACATAGACATTAAGGATAATAAAGTTTCAAATAGTGTATAGAAATGAAAAATCCCAAAAAAAATAAAAATAAATACTTCAATTCCATTGTTATGGATTGGGCCTTCTCATAAGGAAAATATCATGGAAGTGTAAATGTTAAATGGTACTCCTAGTATGTATGTATACTCTTTTTTTTTGGTTTCCTACCTGGTATACGGTACTCGCATTGGGGTCCGACCAAATTCGGATTCGCGCCGGGAAGTCCCACATTGGAGGGTTAAGCGCTCCTTAACAAAGACGAGTCCATACCCAGGGCTCAAACCAATAAATGGTAGTATGTATGTATACTCATATATAAGAGTTTGAATAATTCAATTATATACGGGGTCTAATTAAACACCCATATTCCATTATATAATAATGATTGAATGTGATAAAAAGGCATATGGATGGAAGTTGTCTAAAATAACGTACAAGCTCTCAAAACTTAATGTGAAGTTAACTAACAACAATATATAATAGAAGGTAAAAATTCATATAAATGATACCAATTATTTGTGATTCTGATGTAGTAGTTGTATTTATAGTTTTATACTAAAACTTGGTCTGATGTTCGCTAGAAACATACATATATTCCGTGCATGCGTGATATTTAGGCAACATTGAATTGACCTTTAATGTGTCTTGAAAAACAAATTATTTGTTATTTAAACAAAATGAGTATGATCAATAGAGCAAAAGGAGTATAGATGATTCATAGACACGATTTTAACTAGTTTGAGATTAAGACACGGTCAATTGATGGATTATTCCTCTGTCATTTTCAAAGGAAGAAGTGATCGATATTGTAAAGATCTTTAAGATACAAATCATCATTAAGATAAATGGAACTGCTAGTCCTAATCTTAAAGATGGAGACAACGTTAGTTATTATTTCTCAACTTCTTCCAATTCTCAAGGAAGGGTCAACTCCTTTGGCAATACTTGCAAAGAGCTTAGCAATCTCAAGTTGAGTGTTGGCAATTATTTCTGTTCGTTTGAGGTCCATTTCACCTCTTTTGGCCTCAGCTTCTGCTCTCATTCTCTCAATCTCTCTCATTGTCTCCATTCTTGCTTGCTCTGACCTCACTACTACTTCTGCTAGCAATCTTATACTCTCCCCAATTTCCCAACCTTCCGCCCTCTTTCGCTTGTTCTTTGATCTTTTCTCCATTGATCTCACTTTCACATTCTTCGACTTGCTCTTGTCGTCGCTGTAGAGGGCCGGTGTGCTGCTGTTTGTATCCATTGCATTTTTGTCTGATATTGCTGCATTGTCCGACAATTTGGCATCCATTGTGTCTTCCTGAAAAAAGAACTAAATTAGGGAACTTTAATTTCATGCTCCTTATAAAAGATACATAGTGTACAACTTTTTTTTCTTTTGAAGATAAAGTAATTTTATTGATGAGTACTTGTGGGTACAATTTTATTTGTTCTCTTAATTTTTCTTTCGGATTATTCTCCGTGATTTCGGGGCTAGATCAATGTATTTTTCGAACGTATATGCGGACCTCCCTATGTATTTCATCTCCATAAAAATCGAGCATTGTATAGATCTTCTTCTTAAAGTTTTTGATTATGTTGCGGAATATCGTGAGTTAATAGCACACAATCACACACAAAGCAAATAAAGAAGAAAAATTAACACAAGAATTTAACGAGGTTCGGCTAAGCCTAATCCTCGGGGCAAAAGCAGAGAAAGTTTTCCACTATGAATGAGAAGAAAAGCACAATACAATCTATAGAATCCCCAACTACAACTCTTATATATAGATCCCAAAAGGTCTCAAACATATAAGAGAAATGTTTCCCAATTTAACTAGGACTATAGGTTTTCCTTTCCCAAATCTATTAGGACAATGGTTTTTCCTAAACCTATAGGGACTATGGGTTTCCTAAAAAATATAAGGAAATAATTCAAGCCACAAATAACAAATCTTCCCCTTGGCTTGAATTTTCTTCATCAACAGGAACAACGTCTCTCTACCTTGCCCTCAGCCCTCGCAAGGGCTCTATTGATTGCCGCACGCATCAACCAAGTCTAGGCAATGCCTAAACTTGTTAAGAGACTTGATCTCTTCAGCCATAGCACTAATCCGTCGATTTGGTTTTGTACCCGAAATAGCTTTTGGATAGCTATAACACTCAAACGCATCAGCGGTCTCTGCAACTACCAAATCAAATCCCACATGATTCGTATATCCAAGAAGATTCCCATCAACTACGTTTGCAAACTTTTGCGGTCGGTTGATCACTCTCTTCTCTCTGCATGTTGCAATGCTATATGGTTGTTGTTGCGCAGGTGCATCAACATTATCGTCTTGATCAATATTTTGCACCTCTTCCACTTCCTCTACTTTAGAACTACTAGGCTGAGCTAGTGGAGATTCAATTTCTAGCTCTATGCGGTCACTGACACCACGATCTATTTCTACTATTGCCTTCTTCCTCTGACTGTCCAGTGAGGCAGATTCATTGAATGTTACATCTCTACTAATAATTAGCCCTGGAGTCTTTTCATTTGTGCACCACAACCTATAACCTTTCACTCCAGTTGCATACCCTAGAAATATGCACTCCTTTGCCCTCGGCTCAAGTTTTCCATCCCTCACATGAGCATAAGTAGGACAACCAAATATCCTTAAATTTGAATAATAAGCAGGCGAACCGGACCATACCTCAAAAGGAGTTTTGAACTCAATAGTTGTGGATGGAGATCTATTGACCAAATAACAAGCTGTATTGATTGCTTCAGCCCAAAAATCTTTGCTAACACATGAGGGTGAGAGCATGCTTCGTGCCCTATCACAAAGCGTTCTATTCATATGTTCTGCAACACCATTTTGTTGTGGTGTTCCGACACAAGTGCGATGTCTCACTATGCCCTCCATGCTGCAGAAATTATCGAACTCAGAATTGCAAAATTCCAACCCATTGATAGTTTGAAGACGCTTAACTTTTCTTTCCGTCTGCCTCTCAACCATCGTTTTCCATTTAACAAATGTCGAAAATGCCTCATCTTTTGTTTTCAGAAAATACACCCACACCATCCTTGAGTAATCATCAATCAAAGTCATAAAATACCCGACACCACTCTTGGAGGGAACTCTGTTTGGACCCTACAAGTCAAAGTGTATATAATCTAACTTGTTTCTGGTCTTGTGCTCGGCCTTCTTGATGAACTTTACTCTTGTCTGTTTACCAAATACACAATTCTCACAAAAATTCAAAACTTAATTTTTGTACCCATTCAACAAATTCTGCTTACTCAACAAAGACAATCCATTATCACTCATATGGCCAAGTCGCAAGTGCCACAACTAAGATTGATTCAGATCACTTTTCCCAGAAGCTATAGCAGCTTCCCCTTCAACTACACTGGCCTGAAGATAATACAATTTAGAATGTAGTTTACTCTTCCTGAGTGCCATGGGGCCTTTACACAGTTTAAGTATTCCATTCTCGGAGTGAAATTTATACCCTTGATTATCCAAAGTCGAAAGAGAAATCAAATTTCTCTTTATCCGAGGAACATGCCAACTCTCAATGTTTCTGATAATTCCGTCGAACATTCTCAATTTGATGTTACCAACCCCCTCTACTGGTAATGGATTAGCACCTCCCATATAGACAGTCTCACTCATTTGTTTGTAAGTTACAAACCAATTCTTGTATGGACAAATGTGGAAAGTAGCACCAGAATCAAGAACCCAAGAATTTTGTCCATGACTAGAACTCACAGCACAAACTTTCCCTACATAGTCACTATCATCAGAATTATTGTAGTGTCAACAATATTTGCCGAATTATCTATTTTCTGCTTCCCTCTTTTCTCCTTCAACTTAGGAGAATCTCTCTTGTAGTGACCTTGCTCCCCACACTCATAACAGTGTTGCTTCCTTGCTCTGGACTTTGATTTTGCGGTTAACTTTTTCCTGTTAAATTCCTTTTGTTGTGTTCTTCTTCTAATCATAAGACCATCGCCCTCAATTCTGCTGTCTGGAAAGCTTTTTTTCAACTCTTTAGATTTTAGTGCATTACTAACATCTTCTAGTGAAATGCTATCTTTCCCATATAGCAGTGTATCGGGAAAAGTATCATAAGACTGTGGTAAAGAACATAACACAATCAAGGCATGATCCTCACTCTCAATTTTGATATCCACATTCTTCAGGTCCATTATAATTGAATTATACTCATCAAAGTGAGTTTTAACAGGTGTACCTTCGTTCATACGGAGATTGTATAACCTCTTTTTCAGGTAGAGGCGGTTTGTCACCGATTTCTTAGAATACAGAACTTTCAACTTCTTCCATGCCGTTGCTGCAGAAGTTTTTTTAGCAATTTCCCGAAGAACGCTATCTGTAACGCTCATGAAGATCGCACTCAAAGCCCTCTCCTTCAGGTCTTCCTGCTTTGTCTTTTCATATCTTCAGGAAAATCCTCATCGATTGATTTCCATAATTTTTGTAACACCAGGGACGATTTCATCCTAATCTTCCATAGATTGAAACTAGAACCTCCGTCAAATTTCTCTACTTCGTACTTTGTTGAAGATGATGAAGACATCTTAACCCTAGATTATATGTAGAAGCCCAAACCTTGCTCTGATAACAGTTGTTGCAAAATATCGTGAGTTAACTAGCACACAATCACACACAAAGCAAATAGAGAAGAAAAATTAACACAAGGATTTAACGAGGTTCGGCTAAGCCTAATCCTCGGGACAAAAGCATAGAGAGTTTTCCACTATGAATGAGAAGAAAAACATAATACAATCTATAGAATCCCCAACTACAACTCCTATATATGGATCCCAAAAGGTCCCAAACATATAAGAGAAAGGTTTCCCAATTTGACAAGGACTATAGGTTTTCCTTTCCAAAATCTATTAGGACAATGGGTTTTTAAGCCACAAACAACAGATTAATTATCAAGAAGCGTCCGGCCACACTCCTAGTTGATCTCGAGGAAGAACAATCAGACTTGAGAAAGACATAATTTGATGTCTTGATCTATTTATAAAAATCCAAAGAGTTTATGGATTTTCCTTGATCTATTTATAAAAATCCAAAGAGTTTATGGATTTTCGAGATGATCTTAATTTTCGAGAAGCATGTGTTTAGTATAGAACTGCGCAGATTTTGAAGCATGGTTTTATCAGTAACTCCTACTATCGTGCAAGTTAATTTCGTTATTGTAACTTTTTTTACAGACAAATTTGATATGTAGATACTTGAGTAAAAGAAGACGAAAGGAAAAAATACAGATATTCGAGTAAAAGATTGTCGAATGCACAATGTGAACTTCAGACATGTCCATATTGGAAGCTAGATGTGATGGATTTCGCTCTAGCTAGTGCTTGAAAATAATATTTCAAAGTTTGTGTGTTCTTGTTACTTGTGTGGCTAAGTTTTATATTATAGAGTATATAACTTCAATTATAAAGATCAATTTCGTATATATAGCTCAAAATTAGACCGTGTTAATTTTCCAAAGTAATCCTTTTTCACATATTGAAAATGAATAAAATCCAACTTTAATATGTTCTTATCCAGATGTAATCTTCAAATGATGATCATTTACTTAATCATACACACACCAAATACATGAAATGTGTGCTACTTCAAACATTTCCTTCGGGAAGTATTTGTTAGTGAAATCGCTAACGAGTGAGCTCTCTGTGTTGAAAGGTGGTTCATTGTGCAATTCCATTAATTAATTACTTGCTTAATTATTATTATTATTATTATCATAGTATTATTATTATTTTCTATTTTGTACTCTCTCCTTCACTTTTACTTGACATGTATATTAAAAATAGATTTTTATTTTTACTTGTCATTTTACGCAAATAATTTTTTTCCTATTATACCCACAGTATTTATTACTCATTTCAAATCATTTCTCAAATCCAATAAAATATGTATCAATTAATATGAATATTATAATAAATTATGCACTTTATTTATTATTTTTTTTAAGAGACTTGAAAAGTCAAAAGTGAACCGCGAAACCATTAAACATTCATAACGACTCTTTGACCTCAGAAAACAAAAGTACACAATGAGGGAGCATAAAAACACTTTTTGCAAAAGGTGGGGTTCAAAATTCTCTCCGTCGTTAATTCTTAACATTAATAATGCAATAATGCAAAGCTATCATTTTAAGCACCAACGCTATATCTCTTTTCTTCTACAATTATTTCAACTACTAACCATTTGAATTGAACCATATTCTCGAAACTTGGTGGCGATGAGTGCGTTAAAAAATCATAGTGACATATATAGGGATTTATGTCTCCCTCTATCAAGATCATAATTGTTTCAAATTAAGATTCTCTCTTCTTCTTCTTTTTGAATTGAAAATAGTGAATAATCGTAGTTAAAATTGTAAAACAAATAATTGAGAAAATGGATGCATATAGAGTACGCTTGACTAACCTTTGCAGCTCTATCAACACCATTAGACCCATTCGAATTCTGACCACCATTCCCAATTGGCACAGCCATCGGCGGCGGCGGTGGAGGAGGCGGAGGGACAGGAGCCGGAGGTGGCGGTGGTAGTACTGTCACTGGCTGCGGCGGTTCCACCACAGCCGGCGGTGGAGGAGGAATAACAGAAGTTGAAGCTGCTGAAGCATTATTTCCACGTAACAAAAGGTCAAGGCGAGGATAAAGCGGCCACGAAGAAGCATCAGCGGCGGTGGCGGATTCCGATCGGTACCGTTTCTTCATTGACTCAATTTTATTCTTACACTGCGTCTGAGTCTTAGGAGATTTCGTGGAATTACCACGCGCCGACACGTGTTTAGCCACGTCCTCCCAATCTTGTCCCTTGAGCTTAGCTCTGTTACGAAGTATCCATTTAGCTTCATAAGCTTCGAGTAGGCATGAAACTGCACCTTCACTCCATTCATCTCTCTTCAGCCTATCACTCGTATTATTGCCAGTGGCAACATGGTAATTTTGCTGCTTATTTCTTGGAAAGAAATCATCTTTATTAGAGATTTCTTGATCCATATGTATCTAATCCTCTTTCATTTCCTATGACTAATATCTTCTAGTTGTTATACATAACCGCTAGGCGCTAGCAATATATGGGGGAGAGGAATTGAGAGGTAGAAAGAAAGAGGAAATTAAAAAGGAAAGAGTATAATAGTAGCTAAGTAAATTGAGACATAGCTAGGCTCTTGTAATTTCAAAAGGTTGTCAACTTTATGCATTAAGGAGAATCATGGAATTTCTTAAACATATAGAGAGTGACATAAGAAAAATCTTGTTAGTGATTGTTTTAAGATAATATTTGCTATATCACAATAACCGAATCAAACTTTATGCTCGCGTTGGACAGCTGTAATTGTTTATAAACATTTTAAACGACTTAATTATTATTCTCTTAGAATCTCAGTGACTAGACTTATACATAGGCAAAAAAAGAAGATACATTACCAATGTGAGTACTTATAGTCATATAAAGGTAATCGAAAGAAGAAGACTGAAATACTATCACATTTAAAGTTCAATTCGATCTCTTTCACTTGGTTATTATCATATGAACGAAAATAGTTAAATGTGTTTGCTTGATCTAAATGTGTATATATACTCTATCAGAACAACATTTCCTGTCAAAAAATTTACTACTTCAGGTCTCACCACCAACAACAACAACATACATACCCGTACCCGGTGTAATCCCACGAAATGAAGTTTGGGGTAGAATGTACGCAAACCTCGCTCCCTATATTTCATGTCAAAAAATTTACTATTTCAGGTCTCAAGGGAAAAAAAAAAAAAAAATTAACTCAAATAGCCACCCACCAAACTGTTTAAACTAAAAATGGCCTGTGAAGGTATAATATATGCATAATTTATGTAATATATATATAATTATATATAATTATGTATAATCAACGTATAAACTGTGTATATGACTGGAAAAAGTAAACAATGAGTATAACGGGCTATTTGCAAAAACATCCTTTACAAAAATACTCCACTTAACAGCAAGAAGATTTGAATTTGTTAAGCATAATGTCACCTACACTTAATTAACCATAATTCACCGATTTACTTTATTTCACCTAATTTGTCCAACAAACGAGAGAGACAACAGGAGAAAAACCACTAGCCTATTAGTGTAAAGTAAAAGGAAAAGAAAGTTATAGTGCCCAACCAAAACGATAGAAGGAAAGATGGGCAGTGTTAACTTTGTCAAATGAGTTAATGATAGTAATCCAACTTTTTTTTTCCAACTTTTTGTTAGTGTTATCTTTTTCGGTGAGTAAGGTGTTGGTTTTGTGACTTTGTTTGAAATGTGATTTTGGGGCATATTTCTTTTGGCTGTTAGCGTTGATATGAAGCCAACCATGACATCCACCGATAATTGGTGACCAGTCACGTGGGACTGTCACCCACTTCATTTTATCACTACCATTCTTTTTCTCTTTCTATAACTTTGAAATTTTTAGCCGCGCACAGTGCAAAGCTCGATACATAATGAATTCGTATTTTATTTTTTTACACTTAAATACTAAGTTTTTGCTTGTGATCGATATAATTCACTTTGTAGTGTATACTTAGCCTACACATCACATTTTGTGTCTTATTACTCAAATGGAGAATGAAACTAAAGGACGCTGGCAGAATTTTAAAGCACGCTGTCGGAATTTTAAAGCACGTTGTTAGAATTTTGGAGCATCCTGCTATAATCTTAAAGTACACTGCCAACATTTTTTGAAGCACGCTGCCGGAGTTTTGAAGTACGCTGCCAGAATTTTAAAGCACGTTGTTAGAATTTTAGAGCATCCTGCTATAATCTTAAAGTACACTATCAATATTTTTTGAAGCACGCTGCCAGAATTTTAAAGCACATTGTTAGAATGTTGGAGCATCCTGCTATAATGTTAAAGTACACTACCAGAATTTTAAAGCACGTTGTTAGAATTTTAGAGCATCCTGCTATAATCTTAAAGTACACTATCAATATTTTTTGAAGCACGCTGCCAGAATTTTAAAGCACATTGTTAGAATGTTGGAGCATCCTGCTATAATGTTAAAGTACACTACCAGAATTTTAAAGCACGTTGTTAGAATTTTGGAGCATCGTGCTATAATCTTAAAGTATACTGCTAGAATTTTGAAGTACGCTGTATGCTGCTAGAATTCTGACATCTGACAGCATGTGTCAAAATTGTGACAACAAACTTTAAAATGCTGGCCTGGGGTTATATTACCAAAAATTTAGGGTTCAAAATATAAATGTTGCTTCTAGAAAGTTACATCCGGCATAATTTCCTGCCACTTAAATAAGGCAGTGGGCCTTTTTATGAAATTTCTCAATTTTTGGTGGAGTATCATTGAGCACTTGAGACCTCAAAACATACTAACCACTTAAAAAGATGCAAAGATTAGTTTGACAGTAGCCAAAGTATTTTTAACTATTTCAGGTATATGCCATTTTGATTTAAAATTAACTGTCGATGTTTAGTCATTATTTACCTTCAATAGTGTTATGGCAAAAGTGAAATTATAGCGTAAATCGAAATTTTGCTGTTTGGACAACTTTAGAAAAAGTTGTTTGAAAGTATTGTTTGTATAAAAATACTTGCTCAAAAAATTTTTGTTTGTATTAATAGTTTTTGATGTATTTGTGAGTATTAACTAGGGAAGAAGAACTTTTTGAAGAAAAAAAAATTTAAAATCCCTTTTTACTACAAAAAATTGAGAATACCTTTCGGAGAAAACTACTGAAAAAAATTCCAAACATGCATATATAATTAAAAAAAATCGACGTTTGAGAAAACTTTTTAGAATAGGTCTCTAGAATGATACAAAAAGGGGTCGTTTGGTGTGCGGATTAAATTATCCCGGGATTATAATCTCATGATTAATTTATACCATATGGGAGGTGGAATAAAATAATCCCAAGTTTGATGAGATAACGTGGGATATGATGAGATATCCTGAACTAAATCTGGGATTAAATTTATATCGTGATAAATTTATATTACCAACTAAATACGGTATAAATTTAATCCCGCATCTTATCTCATATTATCCCAAGTACCAAACGACCCCAAAGAATATCTAATGGACTGCTGCACAATTTACTGAAAATCAGGTTTGATTGCCAATTATATTCCTACTATTAACAAGGGGGAGTTTTGAGGAGCTTAGGGTCAACATGTATGCATAGGGATATGCATTCGAATCAGTTTATCGATAAATCGAATCGATTATTTGTTATCGGTTTATCGATTTATCGATTTCGATTTCGATTTCGAAATTTTCCTTATCGAGTTATCGATTTCGACTTCGATTTTATCCTCTTCGGTTATCGGTTTATCGATAAACCGATAAGATATACCAAAAAGACAAACAAACAAAAAAAAATTACCCTTATTTTATAATACCCTTTCCTTTACCCTAAATCCCTAACCCTATTATTTCCTCTACCACATTTAAGGAATGATCATATTTAAAGCTCAAGGAAATGAAGTTCAAATTAATGGAAAACAGAATTAGCCGTGATGATGTATTTTGTTTTGTTTTTTTTATACCGTTGGAGTGTTGGTGACATACATTTGATCTCTTACTTTAGTTTCGTTGCATGTGCTTGTTGACACAATTTTTATATTATAAACGGTGTTCGTCTTATTTTAGCTTCTTTTTGTCCATATTAGTTAGGCGTGTTTATAGCGATATACTTTCCGTGGAATCCCACAAATTTTCTTATTGGTGTAATCGATAACCGAATCGGTAAGCCCCAAAAATCGATAAATCGAAATCGAAAAAATTGAAACCTTATTGAAACGAAAACGATAAGCATATGTACAAATCGATAATCGATAAGGGTCAAAATCGAATCGATAAATCGAATGCACACCCCTGTGTATGCTTCACCTGTTAGCTTAAAGGGTTTTTTTGGAAATTTCGCCGTTTACTTGTTTTCAAGCTATTGTACTTAAGATTTACGGGTACTATAAAATTAAACGCTACACTTTTACTTGAGGATCAAAATGAATTGATTTTAGATTTTCTAATTTTTAAATGATAAATGAAAACGTTAAAATTATACGAAGTAAACAAAATATACTATCTTCATTCTCGACAAATAAAATTTTGGTTGCTTAGTCAGGATAGAATTAATGCTTAATATATGGCGATTTAATGATCCCCTTATATAAGTTGGAGCTACGAGGAAGTTTATTAGCTTACTGGAGGCTAATCCACCAACTGGTGGCTAAAAAACCAAAATCGCTTTTGCCAATCAAAGCCCCAAATCGCTTTTGATTCCTACTATTTTATTTCAATTTTATTTAATAATTGTAAATTATCTTTAAAAATGAGTCGATCCTTAACAAATCTTGTACGATATCAGAAATACTAAGATAGCATACATAAGTAAACAAGGAGATAGAAATTCTTTGCAAAATGCTCACCAATTTACTGAAAAATATGGCCACCTTGTTACAAATAGCTCACAGCGGCATTAATTTATCACGATAGCCAAACCTAACACGGCGGATTCAAATGCAAAAGTGAGTCACATCTGAAAACAATACAAACTACACCACCAAACAGACCCTGACCCTCGGTAGTTTACTTTTATAATGTACAGTAATACTCTCTTTAATTTTTGCCACTAGCCAATGCGCTTTCGTCATTCCAACTTATTAGCTGCTTCTTTTTAACTTTTTGGGCATTACCACTCACTTTTCAACCTTTTTGCCTATTCTCCACATTTTGCTGACTTTTCACGTACACGTGGGGACTATCCACCCAAAGATATTCTAGGGCGAGATCTTTTCTCCATCAAAGGCTTTTGCCTTTTACTGCTGCCAACCTTTTCTTTCAATTTATCAGCATATTTAATTACCATTAGGATTTGTTCGTTATAGTGCTTGTCCGATTTGGTGTGTCTTTTGTACACAATTTAAGTAAAATGGGAAAATCACTGACTTTTGTAAATAAAAAACATCTCGACAATTATGCATTTGACATTTAGCCTAAAAGTGGTGTACTCTCGTATCAAGGAAGTCGTTATCTCTCCTATAATGGTTTGGAGCACTTATAGTCTTAGTCTTAGTGGTGAGACATTCGTGCTCGATTCGCTATGGGATGCAAATTGCAAATTGCTATAGGCAGTGATTAGCTGCAGCTGATCTAATTCTTAGATATTTATGCTTAAATGACACATACGAGAACCGCTAAATCAACGGTGATAGAGCTGTTGGAATTGCCACATGGTCGATCATGCACCACGAGTAATCGACTGACTCGTGAAAACCAACACATATTCTTCGGAAAAGCATCGTTATAATATCAATCATCGACTCATCGTATTGAGATATGCCGAGGGTCTATCGGAAACAATCTTTCTACCCCAAGATAGGGGTAAGATTTATCTACACACTATCCTTCTCATACCCCACTTATAGTATTATATATTTGGTGGTTGTTGTTGACTCATCGTATTGAGATCGTTATGAGTTATGACTTATGTATGTGTATACGGTGGAAATCGGGACTACCCAATTTCGTCCCTCAATGGAAAAAGTGATATCACGTCGGAAGACCAGAACGTCGAGTTCGGGGTCAAAGTTCTTTTCTAAGGTCGAGGTCGATAACACTTACCGAGGTCAGAAGAAGGCGTGCTTCGAGATGATGCCGATAAGATTCAGTAACGGAAAGAGCGAGATATCCGCAACGGATCGGAGACCACGGCGTGAATTTCAGAATGGATTGATCTTCAGTGATTAAACAGTTGTCAAATATGATTTCCTACTATAATTAGAAATGTACCTTATTTAGGACTCCCCTATTATATAAAGGGGGATCCCATCCCATCCGTTTGTAAAACACATTGTTCACTGATAAGAAAATATACGCACATCATTCTCTTGTTATTTCATTTACTATTCATCAGAGTTGTTTTATCATTTGTTATTCCCATTATCATACCTCGTGATTATCACAGATCGAGGTCGAGATTTAGCTTACACGCTGGTTTGATCTATTTTATTCTTTATTTAATTCTTTGTTTATCAATTGGCATTGAATTAAATCACATATCCTTAAAACCACAATATAAGTTTTAATTGTTACTCGAATTTTGGGGTAAACAGTATGGTTATACACAAATACTATAGTTTATATCAGACACATGAAGGTCGCGTTGATTACATTGATAACGTCGTCTCATGATATGTGAAATTCTTACATGCTTGTCACAGATTTTTGTATATCAAAAACATCTCAACAATTACTAGTCTCAAATTGCCTCTGTTACTGAAATTCTCAACAGAAAATTGTGAATAATCTTTAGAATATAAAACTATTACCAGATATAACAGTATTGAGTCCACATACAGCTTACCTTTTCCTACACAAATCGTAGCAAATCAGTATTGCGTCTATATAGAACCGTCTCTTCTTATGTAGAAATATGAAGACTTAGAATGAACTGGAAAGCCAGAACATCGTGAGCTCGAATTGAAGGGAAAAGGTACAAGGACGTTCATTTAACGGATGTCTTCTTTCTCATTTGCCCCCTTGAGAAAACAAATGAGATAAAGTTCCTCAAAAGCAAAATTCCATGCACCAAAAAGCCATTTGGAGTTTCACACTTCATGAATAGGCACTTGGTTAATAGATCAGATAGTCAATGCATTTTGAGCAACTAAACCTCATTTTAAGTGGACAAGACTACGCAAAGTATTGGAACCTTGGCCGAGTTCAGTACAGACATAAGGTACCTCATTTTTCTAGGAGGGGAAAAGGATAGCTAAGACAACTGGCAGAAGATACAAATTCGAGAATGACTGAGAATAAAAACATGAATTGAAATAATGCATCATATAAGCTCCAAATTGCTAGAGAAGCAACTCCAAGATTGTGCAGTGGGTACATAATGGTGTCACCTCATTTGCTACCTTCACAAGCTCAACACTACCTAAAGATATTAAATTAATACTAAAGGTCCGAAACTTAAGCTAAGTAAGTAAATACAAATTTAGATCTCGAGGTCCATCTACTATATTCATTTTCATACGTTTGATATTCCAAGAGCAGTTTTCTCCAGATGAAGAGCAACTAACCACATCAGAGTGTTGAAGACATAATTAAGTAAATAAATAATTCTTCCTCAAGCTTCAACAGCTTTTGTCTGCCTATGATACTTCTAAGTTGCTGTCTACCCTGTTTTCCTCTTTGCCTTAGAACTTAGGCACCACTATGTAATGGGTTTAGTTGTTAAACATGGAGAAACCAATCTAATATAACCACAATATATGCAAAAAAGATAACAGTTCAGGTATGTCCTTGAATTAGACAAGTTGGCATGTAATCAATCAATTATAAAGGCGTGAGTTACAAACCAATCTAATCTAACCATAACACATGAAAACACAAATCAACTCAGATGATTTCCCCTGAATTAATCTAGTTGGTATGAGATTATTCAACTACAGTGCGGTGACAACATACAAGACAACAAGTCACAGAGAATCTAATCAACAACAATAAGTGACAAATCAACTCATATACTTACTCTTTAATATGTAAAGTTGATATATATTAATCATCTATACAGCAATTGCATTGTTTTTCCACTTGAAGGTACATATTTTTTGAAGTGCTTGCAACTTTTTGATAAGGATCAAGTGGTTACAACCTAATTACATTCTAAAGTCCATCAATCTACTGATGGTTATCACTACTCGGTTGTTCGCTGTGAAGATACATGCAGTTTCTATTGACTTGTTCTAGCATAGCCAATCTGCAAGTCTACATAGGTCAAATGTTGTTGGCAGTAAGAGATGTCACCATGGGTAAAGAAAATATTTAGAAACCTTGCTTACCAGTTTATGATCCCAAAAGTAAATGAGCAAAGAGTACAAAGAGTATAAAGCTAGTATTTAACGAGCTATTGCATAACAATGCAAAGTGCGTTAAAGTATCTATTTAACTAACGAAACCTAATCTTTTAGATCTAAGCACAGAAGTCAATCAAGTCACTGAAGCTCGAGCGTCAAAAGCATGGAAAATGTTTGGTTCTTCTGCTTAAGCTTCTACAGTATGCATAACAAGCTCATTCATCGCAAAAGGCAAATTTTAGGCTCGTACCTACAGAAACCAAAAACGCTAGAAATAATGCAGACTACTTAAAAATATCTTCTCAGCCATTGTTAATATTCGAAATAATATTTAGAATATTAGTTTAAGAGAGCCATATTGAAGTTCCAAAACCATAATTGCCATATTCGACGAAAGCAAGAGAGAGAGAGAGAGAGAGAGAGAGAGAGAGAGAGAGAGAGAGAGAGAGAGAGAGAGAGAGAGAGAGAGAGAGAGAGAGAGAGAGAGAGAGAATAACTGGATTTCATAGTTCTCATACATTTGTTGTGTATCTACTCCAATGGTTCTTTCTTGATCTAGCGACAAGAATGGGAAATGTGCAAATTTACAGTAGACTAACTGTGAAATGTGAGCAATTAACTCCAACAAAGCTTATAAGAAATAACGTCAGATGTTTCACAAAACAGAACAAGGAAAAAATATATAGCTATTGAAGCGCTGAACAGAAGATGTGTCGTCTAACAAGATGGTCTCCACAAGCTACAAATTCAAGTCTCTGTCTATGGAACATGTAATTAAAGTGATGCAGCCACTACATCGATAATCGGGAACTATTACAGATGCATGGGAATTAAATGCTAATAACCATACTTGGAACTTATTAAAATTATTCATCTGCAATGCACCAAACAGAACAAGTAAGTCTTCTTAAATAAGCAGGATCACATATCTCAAAAGTTTAGGAGAAAAGAAACACAAGCTATTGGGTTTAGACACGTAGATGTAGTGCCTTGAATCAAATGTGCTTTGTGTTGTGAACAACAAATAATGAGTTAAACCTATTAAAGTTATAACATTGATGAACCAACAAACTCCTGCTGAAGTTATAAAGGGTAGTGCCTTGGCGCACATAAGAATAGACTAACCGTCTTGTATGTATAATTATTCCGGTCACATATCAAGGCCAACAGTAAAGTCCATACACAATAGACTGAATTCTGGTTTTCACTCACACAGCCAATATCTTTATCATCAAGCAGGTAACGCAATGATCCTTTTAACAATATCTTGTTGCTACAATACATTTCTGAATATTCTGTTAATACCAAATAAGAAGCGCCTCAAACATTTTAAGGTAAGTGAAAAGAAATGTTGCATCCACAAATTAGAACTAAAAAGAGAGAAAATTCAAATCAACTGGTATTGCATTTGTTTCTGTTAGTACTCAATCCAAACTAATTCTTCCAATCACATTAATGCATTTTCACTCCCCATTCACTGTTATAATACCACAAAGAGTACAAACACGAAATCTAAAAGAAAGGTATCTATACAAACATAGCCAAAGAGATATATTTTACATACTCATAATGAATGGTTTGAATTTGATAAGCAGCCCATCTGCTCCTCTTGAAACATACAGGAACTCGCATCAAGTATCTTCAACAACGCCATTGCTTTGTTCCTGCCCTTATCCGTTCCATTTTCCGCCACTTCAATAATGCCATCCACTGCCCCTAAAACTACGCCACGAATACTATCGGCAATCTCTTCTCCACCACATTGCACCAAATTCAGTAACGCTGAAACCGCGTTCTCTTTAGTTCGACTGCTTGATCCAGTCGAATTATCCAACAAATCGACCAGTACCCCCACCCCTGATACCTTCCTAAATGCCTCCCAGCTCTCCTCACACCCTGCAATTTGAGCAATGACAGCTGTAACATCCTCCAATATCCCAGCTCTACCGTCATTACACAGCAACGAAAATAAAGCGGGTACAGCCCCCAGCTCGATAATTTGAGCACGATTCAGCGGGTAAAGCCCAATACCAAAAAGGGCTTTGAGCGCATCTTTTACAGTTCTAGAATCCGAATTAGGGCTTTTAATGACATCTACAAGCCCGAAGAGAATATCGCGCTTGTGGCCGATGATGGACCGATAAGACTCGACCGTCAATAAGCTGAAGATGGTGGCGGCGGCGCACTGGGCGACAAAAGGGGAAGAAGGATTCCGGAGAGCGTGAGAGAGTGCGTCGAGGACCCCGCGCGTGGACATCAGCAAGTCCTTGGAAGAAATCGAGAGGTTATGCAACGTGGCGGTTGCGTTCTCCTGAGACAATTTGTTCGACGAGTAGAGCGATTCCGCCAAATACGGAACAGCGCCGGCATCGCCGATCAACGGTCTGCTGTCGGAATCGTTCTTTGAGATCAATCTTAGCTCGCAAATTGCTTCTGTACGTGTCTGCTCCGAGACGGAACTCAGCTTCGTAACGAGGTTCTTCACCGCCCTTCGTTTGACCTCCATTTCCAGCCTTCTCCGATATCTCCTGGGAAAATTTCAGCACTACTATTGGTTGAATTGATCACAATTTCCTTTAAATAGGGAATTTTCACGTTAACAATTTAGATACGCCATTGTTGACTTTGTGTTAGAGCGTTTGGTGTGCTGTGGTTTTTGAATGTCAGTCAAACTATTAATAATTACCATTTGGACTTTAAAACTCTTTATTTTGATGAAACTCAATGACAATTTCATAATACTTGCATATTAAATTTTTAGCTTTACATTTGTTGGAATTAACAAAGCTAATGGAGGAATATGAAGACTTTTTTTACAAATAAACTACTCTCCCCGTTCTAATCTTATGAACCAGTTTGACTGTACACGGAATTTTTTAAGGGTCAGAGTATTTGTGTAGTTACAAAAATATTTCGTTAAGGATAAAATTAGAAGTTTAAGTTAAATTATTTTCAAATTTAAAAAGGGATTAATCTTTTTGGAACAAATCAAAAAGAAAATAGATTCACATAAACTGTAACAGAGAGAATACATATACATAAAAACGATTTGTCAATATGGGAAGATAAAATTAAGTTTGTTCTACAGATAAACATAAGTTATGTAGCTTATGAAACATTATAAGAAATTCTAATTTTTCTGGCATACCAAAAACAATTGAGAAATATATATTTTTAATTGTTCCAAAAAATAAATATATATTTTTTTGTATGTACATATAATAAGTATATTTTATATACTTTTTGGTTAGGATCAACCGGCAGACTTTGTATTTTGCCCAAAAGAGTTTCCATTTTTTCATGCCCTTATGAATTTCTATTTTGATCGTTCTCTTCTTAGAGTTTTCATTTTCTATAGTATACAATTATACATTATATAAAAAGCTCTAGCAAATTTTGTTGATGGGCAAAAGTTTCCGAGTTGATTATTTGTCAAATAAGTTATGGTAGCAAAATTCACGAGTTTTTAACCAAAATTATCCCTTATCTTTAGGGGTAGACTTAACTTTGTCCTCTAAATATAACCCTTAGCACTATTTGTCCTTTAAGTTTACAAAACTTAAGCACTTTTAGTCTCACTAACAAAAAATACTCACTCCCGTTAAAAACCTAACAGAGACATAACACGTGATTTGTACGTGATGCTTAAGGGAAAGAAATACCCGCTCTTTCAACCCCAATTCAGTCAATTTCCCTCCTTTTTCAAGAGCCCCTTCTCCAATTCACTCATTTTTATCTCTATTACAGTAATTAAAAAAACTCTAGCATTCTTAATTACTTTTCAAGTCTTTACTACTTGCGATCCCAGCAATGATTATTAGGAGCAATGGTGAAATAAACCCAAGTTATGATGAGTGTTCTTGCTATTTGTATTTTGTAAATATTCCTTCTTAATTTATTTTCGAAATCTCCACCATTTTTACAATACTTTACTGTCTTTGAAATTCTATAATATGTGGCCCTTATCTCGAATTCATATAGTATGTTTAAATAAACTTTCAATTTTTTTTATGCAAATCCTTTGTACGAGGCAGATTATTTTACCATTAAAATAACACACGTTGGTTTAATGAAACTCAAGCCGACAAGGCATTATGTTGCGGGCAGATGAATTTTATTGACTATGTCAATGGGGCTGAACTAAAGTTGTCGATATTCAAATCTATGGCTGAACTATGCGGTTATGGGAATGACTCGGTAACTTTTTGGCACAAGCCCGAGAGTCTAGGTGACAAAATGAGGCTAGTTTCAACTGATAAGGAAGCCGCTGTTGTTGCAAAAAATATTCCCATTGATCGGGTAGTTGATGTGTACTTTGAGCATTTGGATTCGTATATAGAAATGGGTTTTGAGGATGCTATTTATGAGGGACAAAGCAATTCAAGGAATGATAATCATGTTACTGTTGAAGAAGATCAAAAAGAAGTTGGAGGTGAAAAATCTTCAAGTAGTGAAGATTTTGAAGATTCAGAAAATGACTTGTTAGATGAAAATGATTTATCAGAAAAAATTAGAAATGAGAAGCGTAGATATGAGGTTAGTGAAAAGCTACAGAGAAAGTTGAATGTTGAAGATGGGGAGTCGGACTGCTGCAACTCTGATGACACGATGAACTTACAAAGTGATTCGAATACCGAAAGTTTAAACTTTTCAAAGTTCAACCCCAAAATAGATGGAAAAAAAATCCAAAATTGGCATTAGAGTTAACACTTGGAAACAAGAGAGAGTTCATACATGTTGTAATAACTCATGAAGTTAGTCAAGGAAAATACATAAAATGGCGAAAAAATGACAATACATGAGTGAGAGTAGTTTGTAGACATTCAGGTTGCGAATGGGAGATTTTGGCTTAAAGAATGCATAGGGATACAACATTTCAGATCAAGACATACAATGATTATCATAGTTGTAAAGGATGGAACCATAGGAACAACACCATAACTTCTTCCTACATTGCAAGAAGATATCTTGATGACATTAGCAGGCACCGGGATTGGAATGTCAAGGAATTTAGAGATCATGTGAGTATAGAGCTAAGAGCTCATGTGACATTACATCAATGTCGAAGAGCTAAGCAAAAGGCGCTCAAAATAATTGATGGAGATCTAAATGCTCAATATAAGGTAATGTGGAACTATTGTAATGAAATTGGGAGGACAAATCCAAATACTTCTATACATATGAAGTTGCTTGAAAATGAGGTTCCTAACAAACCTAATAGATTTCAAAGAATCTATATTTGCTTTGGGGGTTGTAAGGAAGGTTTCAAGAGTGTTTGTAGAAGGATAGTTGGAGTAGATGGTTGTTGGCTTAAGGGTCCAATGTATGGAACTCAATTATTGACATTTATTGGAAATTGATCCTAATAATAATATCTTTCCAATAGCATATGCAGTTGTGGAGAAGGAAAGAATGGAGTCATGGGCTTGGTTTCTGAATTATTTGAAGTGTGACTTAGAGATTGATGATGATTATACTTGGACTTTTATGTCAGATAAACAAAAAGGTTTGATTGAAGCATTTAATGAGGTGTTGCCATTTGTTAGTCACAGATTTTGTGTGAGGAACTTGCATAATAACTTTAAGAGGGCGGGATTTAGTGGTATCTCGTTGAAGAATGCACTTTGGAAAGCCGCAAGGGCATCAACAGAGAAGTGGTTTAATACTTGCATGGTTGAGATTTTTGATTTAGACTCTGAAGCTGCTAATTGGTNAATATCCTACTTAATAACATGTGTGAAAATTTTAATGGAATGATCCTCGAAGCTAGAGACAAGCCAATAATCACTCTATTGAAAAATATAAGGTATTTACTTATGGCTAGAATGCAGGCAAATAGAGATAAAGCTGCCAGGTGGGATATTGGTGATATATGTCTTAGGATTAAGGATATATTGCATAAAAATCAAGCGGGTGCTGCGGAATTCATTCCTAGAAAATCTAATGAGTGGAACTACGAAATTATAGGGGCAAGCATACATGATAAGTGGGATGTGGACTTGCTAAACAAAATATGTAGTTGTAGGAAATGGGATCTGACAGGAATTCCTTGCAAGCATGCCATTGCTGCAATTTGGGCTAAAAAGATGAGATTAATTCCTATGTTCATGATTGCTACAAGGTGGAAACATATAGAAGGGTCTATGACTTTGCTATTCTTCCTATGAATGGTCAGCATATGTGGCCTAAGTCCTCCAACGTCCCTCTTTTGCCTCCACAACTAGTAAGAACAAGCACAAAAGGAAGAAAGCAAAAACTAAGGAGAAAAGAACCAGATGAAATAGGAGCAAGTAGAACTAAAATGAAAAGAAAGCAGAATTCCTTGCTTTGTAGCTTATGTCATAATGCTGGCCACAATAAAAGAACATGCAAATTTAATATTGTTCAGCCAGATTCCCAAGTTGATGAGCCTTTATCTTATGCTCCTGCCTCGTCAACTCGTGCAAAGCTTCCGGTATCAATAACTTACAATTGAATTCTGTTTATTAAGTTATTATAATATGAACGAGTAATAGTACCATATATTTTGTTTGCAGGTAAGAAGAGGACATGTGGCGCATGAACATATGCAATGTGCTCAAGAATTTGATTCTTAACATGACTGAATTTCTGATATTGCTATTGCTGAAATGGTGATATTTTGCTGTTGAAATGTTGGAATGAGTACTTTTGCCGCTGAAATGCCGAATTTTTGTTGTTAATATGCTGATTTCGCTGCTGAAAATGTTGTTTTTCGCTGCTGAAGTGCTGATATTTTTGCTGTTGAAATGCTGTATTTTTCCCGCTGAAATGCTGATTTTGCTGTTGAAAAGCTGATAGCTTTGCACTTTGAATGCTTTTTTACTGCTGGAATGCTGATTTTGGGTGCTGAAATGCTGATAGCTTTGAACTTTGAATGTTTTTTTACTTATAGAATGCTGATTTTAGCTGTTGGAGTGCTGATTTTTGTTGCTGAAGAGCTGATACCTTTGCAATTTGAAGGCTTTTTATCATTGAAATGTTGTCGATGATGAAGATTATTTTTGTTGTTGCAAAGATTTATTTTTCTTCTGTTGGATACTTCAATTCTGCTGAATCTGTTTCTTTTCTTCCTTTTTTTATAAAGAACATTCTGTTAGTTTTTTAACTGAATTTTTTTAGGTTTCTGTTAGTGAAGGTTTTTAACGGGAGTGAGTATTTTCTGTTAGTGAGACTAAAATTGCTCAAGTTTTGTAAACTTAAAGGACAAATAATGCTAAGGGTTATATTTAGAGGACAACATTAATCCTAGCCCTAAAGATAAGGGATAATTTTGGCTAAAAACTCCAAAAGTCACCAATCAGTGATTCCCAAATGAAGTCGAACGATTAACACTGAAATGAGATTTGAATTTGAATTTGAATTTGAATTGTATGTGAAGGTATTACTTGAAAAATATTTTTCTTATATCCATTCTTTAATTTTCTCTATGGATTAATGTAGGGGTGACAATTTGAGCCCAAACCCATCTAATCCGCCCAACTAGCCCAGAGATTAATGGGTTGGGCTACAAACATTTTAGCTCATGGGTCAATTTAGGTTGAGCCCAAGTTAACCTATTATTTTTTATAGCCCATTCTGACCTATTTAACAGCCCAAATACAACCCATGAAACTCACCCAAAATAAAGGATCTCAACCCAACAT